CATCGCCCGCTGTGCCACTCTTGTGCCGGGCGGCTCCGTCGCGCTGCGATTGCGTCGCGCCGCGAGGTCCAGCGAGCAATCGCGAGTCTGACCGAGGTCTCATGTGGTGCATATGCTTCCCCAATGCGCTCCCGCTTTATCGTAATCGCTGCCATTAAGGGCGAATCTTGGAGCTTTCTCAGTCTAGTGAGGGGTTAGACCGGAGAACAACAATAGTCGGAAGGAGCGATATCTGGGCCATACTGGAGATGAGGGAGTACTGTCCATCCATACTTCACGAGCTCCGACTTCACCTCTCTTGCAACGTGCGGTCTGGCATTGTCATGCTGGAAGTAGACTTTTCGAACATTTCCTTTCCGCTGATCGACGATTCGCTTCAAATCCCGCAGCTGTTGCGTGTAGAGATTGGCAGTGACAGCAGCTCCCTCATCCAGCAGTTGCCAAAGTACTGGCCCATGTACATCTAACCAAATTGCCAGCATAACCTTCTTGGGAATAACATCCTTGAGAACCTCTTTCAGCGTTTCCCTGGACCGAGCCACTGTGCTTCCCTGTGGAAATTATTGTAGCAGATCCATTTTCCATCGCCAGCGGAGAGAGGTTCCAGCCATGTATTTTCTCTGCAAGTGAAGCACCACATGCCTCCCCTCTAAACGAAACCCTAAAAACGCCTTTTTATTGAATAAACAAATAGAAGAACAATCACTCACCTGATCTCCTTCCCTCACGAAATGGGGACCACACAAAGTTGACGATGGAGGGATTTTGTGCACAACACAACGCGTTCCAAAGACTAGACGTAGTTTTGCACAAGGAAACCATAGCACTAGTTGTTGCATGGTTACCATGTCGTTTTTGCCATTTTGTATTGTTATAAATGTCATTTAACTGCCACTGGATATTGCCACTGTAGTCAAAAGGCCGCGCGAAGAACCTAGACCGCCGCCACACTCGGCGACGGACAAGCGATGGAGCGACGCGATCGCTCCATCGCCGAGTATGACGGCGGTCTAGGGCTCAAATGAAAAACGCTCACGCCGCGTCCTCAAAACAAAGCACTGCCTTAATCCTGTTTTGAAGCGCTACGGAACTGGCAAAGGGATGAGAAACCCAGGTTTCACCTATT